GTGCCTTGTAGGTAGCGAAAGATACGCTTAACTGCAACCCAGTGTTCTTCTTGGGGATTTTCCATGAACCGCGACACATAGCCCACACCAAACGCAATGTCCGGACGCGTTGCATTGGTCAGGTGCATCAACGCACCAACAGCTTCGCGAAAAGGAGCATCGACCTTGGTAGCTGCATTGCTTGAAATAAGTCGAGAGCTCATGTCCACTGGACTTGACACAGCCTTGCAATCATCCATGCCAAAGAGCTTGAGGATATCATCGACATACCGACGCTGACATAGTGTCACACTGCCATCTTCACCGTCCAAAAGCTCGATCCCAAGAACAAACGCACACTTGCCGCTGTCCGTCATCTCGAACCGCGTCTTCAGGTCGTTCTTGGTTTGTGCAATCAGCTCGAGCGAGCTTCCAGTCACCAAGACGTCGTCCACGTAGACCAGTATAAACACGCAATGGCCGTCCGAAGTCTTGATGTAGATACATGGGTCGAAGTCCGATACTTGAAATCCGATGGAGCACACATACTCGTCGAACGTCTCGTTCCACACTCGCGACGCTTGCTTGAGGCCGTAAATCGACTTCACCAATTCCAGGCAGTCGAAAGTACTGTCAAGTTCGACGCCTTCAGGAATCACAGAGATCACTTTGTTGACGGTCATCGGTTTTCTACCAGTATTGGTAACCGTGACCGGTCCAATCCGAACCGCCTGTTCAGCCTAGTATTTACGACGTAGTTCTTACGGTAATTACCATAGTTGATTAGACGCGTAGGATGATGAGACGCTTCACATGATTTATATGTACACCACATATAAATCATGTAGTAAGTAGTAAGTCCCGATAATCAATCACTTTCGAATCTTCCAACTATTGGACAAGTGTTTTCTGCTCTACTCTCTTCGGTCTCTCCGCTCCGTTCGCTCCGCTTTCCTCGCTCCGATCTACAATGCAACAGGATATGAGCCCAAGCGCCATGTCGTCCACCAGCAACGCCTCCATTGACAAGTTCAACGGAGACAATTACGCAACGTGGAGCCGGTACATGCGCGGTGTGTTTTTGACGAAGTCCGTCTGGCACGTCGTTAACCGTGAAGTGAATCCGACTTTCACCGACCCGCGAGCGTCCGATGACTACGTCAAGGCAAGCAACGTCGCGTTTAGTATGATGCTGCTGCACATGAACGCGGACTACTATCATGTGCTGGACAACTGCGAGGAAGCCTGGGTTGCGTGGACCAGTCTGAAGACGCTGTACGGTGGGTCGCAGAAGGCAGGACGCATCTACCTCAAGCGACAACTTTTCAGCATCAAGATGGCTGAAGGCGCGAACGTCATGCATCACTGCAACGAGGTCCTCAACATCTCCGCCAAGCTTAGCGGCATCGGTGCGAAGATGGAAGACGAAGACGTTGCAATTTGTCTGCTACTCAGTCTTCCGAAGAGCTACGAAAATGTGGTGCTCAACATGGAAATGAGCAGCACCGAGCTTCGCACTCAAGATGTGGTGAGAGTCCTGACGAATGAGCATGCCAAGCGTCAAGGAGAAAAAGGGACAACGACAGCGACTACGGTGAAGGCTGAAGATGCAAGCAAGGCATTCAGCGCCGAGCGTGAGCCCTACCAATGCACGTATTGTGGCAAGGTGGGACACACGGTGGATCGTTGCTGGACAAAACAGAAGAACGAAGGTCGGGGAGCCCGACGCGGCGGCAATGGTCGTGGACGCGGGGCTAACAATGTCCAGTGGGGACATCATGATGAAGGCAATGGCTACGATCGAGTGGCGTTTGCAGTCTCGTTCGAATGTGGAGTTTCGACGAGCAAGGACGTGTATGGAATATGGGCCGTCGACAGTGGTGCAACGCACCACATTTGCCACGACAAGACCAAGTTCGCAAGTTTGGCAGAGCGCAATGAGGTCGAACTCTTGGTGGCTGATGGCAACAAGGTGGCCATCAAGGGTGTGGGAACCATCATGGAAAAGGTGGTTCTGCCCAACGGTGAAGAGCGTGAGATCGAAATCAAGAACGCGCTATATGTTCCAAGTATGAGCAAGAACCTGCTCTCGGTACCACCGATTAACAGCCATGGCAAGTTTCAAGTCGTGTTTGACGGGTCCAAGATGTATGTGACTCTCAAGAACTCACAGCAAGTGGTGGCGACAGCGGATCTCGTGGATGGACTCTACTGGCTTCGGACGACTCAACGATCAGCGAATGTGACAACAAGTGGAACCAGTTGTGCCGATCTGCATGCCAGAATGGGTCATGCTCCAGTCGATGTACTTCGCAAGATGATCGCGACCAACATGATCAAGGATGTGCGAGTCTGTTGACAGTCATCGGTTTATACCAGTATTGGTAACCGTGACCGGTCCAATCCGAACCGCCTGTTCAGCTTAGTATTTACGACGTAGTTCTTACGGTAATTACCATAGTTGATTAGACGCGTGTTGATTGGTAAAAAGCTTGACGACCGAAACTGGGAGTGATGCTGGGAGTCCACTCGGAAGACCGGAGAAGACACTTGGGGGGTAGATGGAAGATTGGAAAGTGATTGATTATCGGGGCTTACTACTTACTACATGATTTATATGTGGTGCACATTGTTGCATTGTAGATCGGAGCGAGGAAAGCGGAGCTAACGGAGTGGAGAGACCGAAGAGAGTGGAGCAGAAAACACTTGTCCAATAGTTGGAAGATTCGAAAGTGATTGATTATCGGGACTTACTACTTACTACATGATTTACATGTGGTGTACATATAAATTATGTGAAGCGTCTCATCATCCTACGCGTCTAATCAACTATGGTAATTACCGTAAGAACTACGTCGTAAATACTAAGCTGAACAGGCGGTTCGGATTGGACCGGTCACGGTTACCAATACTGGTAGAAAAACGATGACCGTCAACACGCCCCCTCAATCCGAATGCTCACGAATCCCGAGAGCCGTCGTCATCTCCTTGTGGTGTGGTCCATGAAGTCCCTTCGTCATGATGTCCGCTAAAATCACCGCAGTTTCACAGTACTTGAGCTTCACTTCACCGCGCTTGACCTCATCACGGATGTGATGGTACTTGACATCAATGTGCTTGGCACGGCCGTGGTTGACCGGGTTCTTCGTCATCTTGATACATGACTGATTGTCTTCATGGATCATGAGTTCCGGTCCTTCTTCATTGGCAGCCATCACGATCTCACAAAGCAGACGATGAATCCACTTGCCCTCTTGAATCGCCAAGCTGAGTGCGATGTATTCAGCTTCAGTCGTGGACAACGAAACACTTGGCTGCTTCTTGCTGCCCCAAGTCACTAGCGCACCGAGTAGCATGAACGTGTACCCCGATGTTGACTTGCGGTCGGTAAGATCACCAGCCCAATCCGCATCCGAATATCCACGGAAGTCAATCCTTGCACTTGGCTTGTAGCAAATTCCATGCGTCTTAGTGCCTTGTAGGTAGCGAAAGATACGCTTAACTGCAACCCAGTGTTCTTCTTGGGGATTTTCCATGAACCGCGACACATAGCCCACACCAAACGCAATGTCCGGACGCGTTGCATTGGTCAGGTGCATCAACGCACCAACAGCTTCGCGAAAAGGAGCATCGACCTTGGTAGCTGCATTGCTTGAAATAAGTCGAGAGCTCATGTCCACTGGACTTGACACAGCCTTGCAATCATCCATGCCAAAGAGCTTGAGGATATCATCGACATACCGACGCTGACATAGTGTCACACTGCCATCTTCACCGTCCAAAAGCTCGATCCCAAGAACAAACGCACACTTGCCGCTGTCCGTCATCTCGAACCGCGTCTTCAGGTCGTTCTTGGTTTGTGCAATCAGCTCGAGCGAGCTTCCAGTCACCAAGACGTCGTCCACGTAGACCAGTATAAACACGCAATGACCGTCCGATGTCTTGATGTAGAGACATGGGTCGAAGTCCGATACTTGAAATCCGATGGAGCACACATACTCGTCGAACGTCTCGTTCCACACTCGCGACGCTTGCTTGAGGCCGTAAATTGACTTCACCAATTCCAGGCAGTCGAAAGTACTGTCAAGTTCGACGCCTTCAGGAATCACAGAGATCACTTGTTCCTTCATGACGCCATACAGGAAAGCTGTCACCACATCAAGCTGGTCGATGGGCCATCCAAAATGCTTGGAAATTGCAATCACCAGTCGCAGCGTCACATACTTGACCACAGGCGAAAACGTCTCCGTGTAGTTAATGCCATACTTTTGGCGGAAACCCTTGGCCACAAATCGTACCTTGTACTTCTCGATTGACCCATCCGCCTTGCGCTTGATCTTGAACACCCATTTTGTGCCAATGGCGCGTTGTCCGTTGGGCAGCTTGGCTGCACGAAACACACCGCGAAGTCGCATTGACTCGAGCTCTGCATGAATTGCTTTTCTCCAGTGCACTTGGTCAGGGCCGCTTACTGCTGCTTCAAATGTTGAGGGCTCTGATAAGTCCACTGCTGCTTCAACGGCATTTGCACTCGCACGCCAAAACACAGGCGGTGTTGAATCATCAGAATCCTTCGTTTCTTCGTCTTCTTCTTGGCGTGACGAGTTGTTTTCCGGCACGCTTGACTCTTCTAGTCCTGGTCTTTGACGCACTGCACGCGGTCGTGGAGCTGCTGTATCTTCATCATTGAGTCGGTTCTTGCGCTTTGTTGCATTGTAGATCGGAGCGAGGAAAGCGGAGCGAACGGAGTGGAGAGACCGAAGAGAGTGGAGCAGAAAACACTTGTCCAATAGTTGGAAGATTCGAAAGTGATTGATTATCGGGACTTACTACTTACTACATGATTTACATGTGGTGTACATATAAATTATGTGAAGCGTCTCATCATCCTACGCGTCTAATCAACTATGGTAATTACCGTAAGAACTACGTCGTAAATACTAAGCTGAACAGGCGGTTCGGATTGGACCGGTCACGGTTACCAATACTGGTAGAAAAACGATGACCGTCAACACGCCCCCTCAATCCGAATGCTCACGAATCCCGAGAGCCGTCGTCATCTCCTTGTGGTGTGGTCCATGAAGTCCCTTCGTCATGATGTCCGCTAAAATCACCGCAGTTTCACAGTACTTGAGCTTCACTTCACCGCGCTTGACCTCATCACGGATGTGATGGTACTTGACATCAATGTGCTTGGCACGGCCGTGGTTGACCGGGTTCTTCGTCATCTTGATACATGACTGATTGTCTTCATGAATCATGAGTTCCGGTCCTTCTTCATTGGCAGCCATCACGATCTCACAAAGCAGACGATGAATCCACTTGCCCTCTTGAATCGCCAAGCTGAGTGCGATGTATTCAGCTTCAGTCGTGGACAACGAAACACTTGGCTGCTTCTTGCTGCCCCAAGTCACTAGCGCACCGAGTAGCATGAACGTGTACCCCGATGTTGACTTGCGGTCGGTAAGATCACCAGCCCAATCCGCATCCGAATATCCACGGAAGTCAATCCTTGCACTTGGCTTGTAGCAAATTCCATGCGTCTTGGTGCCTTGTAGGTAGCGAAAGATACGCTTAACTGCAACCCAGTGTTCTTCTTGGGGATTTTCCATGAACCGCGACACATAGCCCACACCAAACGCAATGTCCGGACGCGTTGCATTGGTCAGGTGCATCAACGCACCAACAGCTTCGCGAAAAGGAGCATCGACCTTGGTAGCTGCATTGCTTGAAATAAGTCGAGAGCTCATGTCCACTGGACTTGACACAGCCTTGCAATCATCCATGCCAAAGAGCTTGAGGATATCATCGACATACCGACGCTGACATAGTGTCACACTGCCATCTTCACCGTCCAAAAGCTCGATCCCAAGAGCAAACGCACACTTGCCGCTGTCCGTCATCTCGAACCGCGTCTTCAGGTCGTTCTTGGTTTGTGCAATCAGCTCGAGCGAGCTTCCAGTCACCAAGACGTCGTCCACGTAGACCAGTATAAACACGCAATGACCGTCCGATGTCTTGATGTAGAGACATGGGTCGAAGCCTGACACTTGAAATCCAATGGAACACACACTCGCCAAAAGTCTTGTTCCATACTCGCAAAGCTTGCTTCAGGCCGTAAATCGACTTCACCAATTCCAGGCAGTCGAAAGTACTGTCAAGTTCGACGCCTTCAGGAATCACAGAGATCACTTGTTCCTTCATGACGCCATACAGGAAAGCTGTCACCATATCAAGCTGGTCGATGGGCCATCCAAAATGCTTGGAAATTGCAATCACCAGTCGCAGCGTCACATACTTGACCACAGGCGAAAACGTCTCCGTGTAGTTAATGCCATACTTTTGGCGGAAACCCTTGGCCACAAATCGTACCTTGTACTTCTCGATTGACCCATCCGCCTTGCGCTTGATCTTGAACACCCATTTTGTGCCAATGGCGCGTTGTCCGTTGGGCAGCTTGGCTGCACGAAACACACCGCGAAGTCGCATTGACTCGAGCTCTGCATGAATTGCTTTTCTCCAGTGCACTTGGTCAGGGCCGCTTACTGCTGCTTCAAATGTTGAGGGCTCTGATAAGTCCACTGCTGCTTCAACGGCATTTGCACTCGCACGCCAAAACACAGGCGGTGTTGAATCACCAGAATCCTTCGTTTCTTCGTCTTCTTCTTGGCGTGACGAGTTGTTTTCCGGCGCGTTTGACTCTTCTAGTCCTGGTCGTTGACGCACTGCACGCGGTCGTGGAGCTGCTGTATCTTCATCATTGAGTCGGTTCTTGCGCTTGCCAGTTTGCTGATACTCCATTTGACGCAGCTCTTCGTCATCAAGATCCAGCAATTCGAAGTCCAGGTCATCGACATCTTCATCAGTGATCGGCAGTTGAAGTCCAAAGGTGGACTCGTCGAAGTTGACATCCCGACTGACAACAACCTGCCCCGCCTCGATGTCAAATACACGATATGCCTTGGACACTTCTTCGTAGCCCAGAAAGATTCCAGCGCGAGCCTTGGGATCCCACTTGAGTCGCTTCTCCTTCGGTGTCAGTATAAACGTCTGACATCCGAATACTCGCATGTGCTTGACGCTTGGTTTGGAGTTGTACACGATCTCAAACGGGGTCTTGTGCACAACTTTGGGTGACGGTAGGCGATTCTTGATGTAGATGGCCGTCATTGGTGCTTCAGCCCAGAAGCACTTGTCCAACTTGGCACGGTGAAGTATGCTGCGGCCGATCGTGACGATAGTCCTAATGGCACGCTCTGCTGTTCCGTTTGTTTGATGTGAATACGGCACCGTTGTCTGCTGTTCAATGCCTTCGTCTTCGTAGAACAGTTGAAGCGAGTTGGTTGCAAACTCGCGAGCTCCGTCGTGTCGCACGAACTTGACCTTCTTACAGAATTGCGTCTGTACCATGGTGATATATTTCCGGATGTAGTCTTCACTCTCGGACTTCACTCGTAGACAAAAGCCCTTCATGCATCCACTGGCTTCGTCGATGATCAGCAGCAAATATTTGCTGCCACCGAGCGAATCCTTTTACATGGGCCCGCAGATGTCCAGATGAAGTAGCTCAAACGTATCGTAGCTGCGCTTGTCTCGGTTGCTTGGAAATGGTTTTTGGACCATTTTCCCTTGTTGACATCCTCGACATGTAGTTGCTCCACCCGACTTGAGAGGGACTCGCACATCCTTGATCATGTTGGTCGCGATCATCTTGCGAAGTACATCGACTGGAGCATGACCCATTCTCGCATGTAGATCGGCACAACTGGTTCCACTTGTTGTCACATTCGCTGATCGTTGAGTCGTCCGAAGCCAGTAGAGTCCATCCACGAGATCCGCTGTCGCCACCACTTGCTGTGAGTTCTTGAGAGTCACATACATCTTGGACCCGTCAAACACGACTTGAAACTTGCCATGGCTGTTAATCTGTGGCACCAAAAGTAGGTTCTTGCTCATACTTGGAACATATAGCGCGTTCTTGATCTCAATCTCGCGCTCTTCACTGTTTGGCAGAACCACCTTTTCCATGATGGTTCTCACACCCTTGATGGCCACCTTGTTGCCATCAGCCACCAAGAGTTCGCCCTCATTGCGCTCTGCCAAACTTGCGAACTTGGTCTTGTCGTGGCAAATGTGGTGCGTTGCACCACTGTCGACGGCCCACATTCCAGACACGTCCTTGCTCGTCGAAACTCCACATTCGAACGAGACTGCAAACGCCACTCGATCGTAGCCATTGCCTTCATCATGATGTCCCCACTGGACATTGTTAGCCCCGCGTCCACGACCATTGCCGCCGCGTCGGGCTCCCCGACCTTCGTTCTTCTGTTTTGTCCAGCAACGATCCACCGTGTGTCCCACCTTGCCACAATACGTGCATTGGTAGGGCTCACGCTCGGCGCTGAATGCCTTGCTTGCATCTTCAGCCTTCACCGTAGTCGCTGTCGTTGTCCCTTTTTTCTCCTTGACGCTTGGCATGCTCATTCGTCAGGACTCTCACCACATCTTGAGTGCGAAGCTCGGTGCTGCTCATTTCCATGTTGAGCACCACATTTTCGTAGCTCTTCGGAAGACTGAGTAGCAGACAAATTGCAACGTCTTCGTCTTCCATCTTCGCACCGATGCCGCTAAGCTTGGCGGAGATGTTGAGGACCTCGTTGCAGTGATGCATGACGTTCGCGCCTTCAGCCATCTTGATGCTGAAAAGTTGTCGCTTGAGGTAGATGCGTCCTGCCTTCTGCGACCCACCGTACAGCGTCTTCAGACTGGTCCACGCAACCCAGGCTTCCTCGCAGTTGTCCAGCACATGATGGTAGTCCGCGTTCATGTGCAGCAGCATCATACCAAACGCGACGTTGCTTGCCTTGACGTAGTCATCGGACGCTCGCGGGTCGGTGAAAGTCGGAGTCACCTCACGGTTGACGACGTGCCAGACGGACTTCGTCAAAAACACACCGCGCATGTACCGGCTCCACGTTGCGTAATTGTCTCCGTTGAACTAGTCAATGGAGGCGTTGCTGGTGGACGACATGGCGCTTGGGCTCATAACCTGTTGCATTGTAGATCGGAGCGAGGAAAGTGGAGCGAACGGAGCGAAGAGACCGAAGAGAGTAGAGCAGAAAACACTTGCCCAATAGTTGGAAGATTCGAAAGTGATTGATTATCTGGACTTACTACTTACTACATGATTTATATGTGGTGTACATATAAATCATGTGAAGCGTCTCATCATCCTACGCGTCTAATCAGCTATGGTAATTACCGTAAGAACTACGTCGTAAATACTAGGCTGAACAGGCGGTTCGGATTGGACCGGTCACGGTTACCAACACTGGTAGAAAACCGATGACCGTCAACACACATATAAATCATGTGAAGCGTCTCATCATCCTACGCGTCTAATCAACTATGGTAATTACCGTAAGAACTACGTCGTAAATACTAAGCTGAACAGGCGGTTCGGATTGGACCGGTCACGGTTACCAATACTGGTAGAAACCGATGACCGTCAACACGCCCCCTCAATCCGAACTCGCACGAATGCCGAGAGCCGTCGTCAAGTCCTTGTGACGAGGTCCCGAAAGTCCCTTGGTCATGATGTCCGCCATCATCACGGAAGTCTCGCAATACTCGAGCTTCACTTCACCGCGCTTGACCTCATCACGGATGTGATGGTACTTGATGTCGATATGCTTGGCTCGACCATAGTTCACCGGGTTCTTCGTCATCTTGATACACGACTGGTTGTCTTCACGGATGATGAGGTCCGGTCCTGGTTCGTTTGCGGCCGCCAAAATCTCGCATAGCAGGCGATGCACCCACTTGCCTTCCTGGATGGCCAGACTCAGTGCGATGTATTCCGCTTCACTCGTCGACAGCGACACACTTGACTGCTTCTTGCTTCCCCAACTCACAGGAGCACCCATCAGCATGAAAGTGTAACCCGAAGTCGACTTGCGATCAGCGTGGTCGCCGGCCCAGTCCGCGTCCGAGTAGCCACGAAAGTCGATCTTGTCGCTTGGCTGGAAGCGGAGTCCGTGCGACTTGGTCCCTTGCAAGTAACGAAAGATGCGCTTCACCGCCGTCCAATGTTCTTGCTGCGGATTCTCCATGAAGCGCGAGACGTACCCCACAGCATACGCAATGTCCGGGCGCGTCGCAGTCGTCAAGTGCATCAAAGCTCCCACAGCTTCACGAAACGGAACGTCGATCTTGGCCGCTTCGCTGCTTGCGACAAGCCGAGTGCTCAAGTCGACCGGACTTGCTGTGGCCTTGCACTCATCCATGCCGAAGCGCTTGAGGATGTCGTTGACATACCGTCGCTGGCACATCGTCACGCTGCCATCCGATTCGTCCACCAGTTCGATGCCCAGTACAAAAGTACACTTGCCACTGTCGGTCATCTCGAAACGCGTCTTGAGGTCGGCCTTCGTCTGCGCAATCAACTCGAGCGAGCTGCCGGTGACCAACACGTCATCCACGTAGACCAGCACGAGCACACAGTGACCGTCGACAACCTTGATGTAGAGACATGGGTCGAACGCCGACACTTCGAAACCGATAGAGCATACGAACTCGTCGAAAGTCTCGTTCCACACACGTGAAGCTTGCTTGAGACCGTAGATCGCCTTCACCAACTCGAGACAGTCGAAGTCGCCATCCATCTCGACGCCTTCTGGTATCACACAGTACACCTTCTCCTTCATCACTCCGTAGAGAAAGGCTGTCACCACATCGAGTTGGTCCAGTGGCCAGTCGAAATACTTGGTGATCGCGATCACCATACGCAGTGTCACGTACTTGACCACGGGCGAGAACGTCTCTGTGTAGTCGATGCCGTACTTCTGCTTGAAGCCCTTGGCAACGAGACGCGCCTTGTATTTCTCGACCGATCCATCCGCTTTGCGCTTGATCTTGAACACCCACTTGGTGCCGATCGCGCCTTGGCCTCTTGGCAGTTTTGCCGCACGGAAAACTCCACGAAGATGCATCGACTTGAGTTCCGCCTTCACAGCATTTCGCCAGTGAGCTTGATCAGGACCATTGATCGCGTCTTGAAAAGTCACAGGTTCTGCTAGGTCCGTTGCTTCCACTGCGTTTGCACTTGCACGCCAAAATGTTGGAGGCGTCGAGTCGTCATCTTGATCGTAGACGCTTGCATCTTCTTCGTCATCAGACATCGTTTCTGGAGCACTTGATCGTCGTTTCTGGTGACGGTTGGAGACGTGTTCCGGCGCACTTGCTTGTTCCAACCCAGTTCGAGGGCGAGCTGAACGTGACATGCCGGGTCTTGCTTCACTCTTGCGCTTGCCAGTCTGCTTGTAGACGGTTTGACGCACGTCGTCCTCGTTGATCGCCAGGAGGTCGAGGTCCAACTCCGCATCTTCATCATCGTCACTTGGTCGGTCCATCGAAAAGTCAAAAGTCGATTCGTCGAAGGTGATGTCACGACTGATCACCACTTGGCCCGCCTCAATGTCGTACACTCGATAAGCTTTTGACGCTTCTTCGTAGCCCATGAACATCCCTTCACGAGCCTTTGGGTCCCACTTCAATCGCTTCTCCCTTGGTGTCAGGATAAACGCCCGACATCCAAACACGCGCATGTGCTTGACACTTGGTTTCGACTTGTACACGATTTCGAACGGAGTCTTGTGGTCGATCTTGGGTGAAGGCAGGCGGTTCTTGATGTAGATCGCCGTCATTGCCGCTTCAGCCCAGAAACACTTCTCCAGTTTTGCATGATGCAACAAGCTGCGTCCGATCGTGACGATGGTCCTTATCGCGCGTTCTGCGGTGCCGTTGGTCTGGTGTGCATACGGCACCGTGATCTGTTGTTCGATACCATGATCTTCGTAGAAGGTCTTGATGGAGTTGGTCGCAAACTCATGCGCTCCATCGTGCCGAACAAACTTGATCTTCGTGCCGAACTGAGTTTGAATCTTGATGATGTGGTTCTTGATACAGTCTTCACTCTCAGACTTGGACCGCAGACAGAAGCCCTTCATGCAACCGCTAGCTTCGTCAACCACAAGCAGTAAGTATCTGCTGCCGCCGATCGAGACTTGTTCCATTGGCCCGCAGATGTCGAAGTGCAGCAACTCGAACACACCATATTGGCGTTTGTCACGGTTGGTTGGGAATGGTTTTTGGACCATCTTTCCTTGCTGGCAACCGCGACACACACTTGGACCAGTCGAGTTGAGAGGTGCCTTGGCGTCCTTGATCATGCCAGTGGCCACCATCTTGCGCAGAACTTCGAGGGGTGCATGACCCATGCGCGCATGCAAGTCGATGGTCCCATTGCGTGTTGCTGCATTTGCCGATCGTTGAGGAGTCCGCAGCCAGTAAAGTCCATCGACGAGATCCGCTGTTGCCACGACTTGTGTGGAATTCTTGCGCTTCACTTGCATCTTGGATCCATCGAACACGACTTGGAACCTGCCACCCTTGTTGATCTGTGGCACCGAAAGCAGATTCTTGCTCATACTTGGTACGAACAGTGCGTCCTTGATCTCGATGTCGCGTTCGTCACCATTGGGCAGAACCACCCGTTCCATGATGGTTCCCACACCCTTGATCGCAGCCTTGCTGTCATCAGCCACTGATAGTTCGCCTTCCTCTCGCTCATTCAGGCTTGCAAACTTGGCCTTGTCGTTGCAGATGTGATGCGTCGCACCGCTGTCGACTGCCCACATCCCTGGCATATTCTTGCCCGTCGAAAGTCCAGCCTCCAGCGAAACCGCGAACGCAACTTGATCGTAGTTGTCGTCGTTGTTGTTGTTGGTTCGCCACTAAACGTTGTTGGCTCCGCGTCCACGAGCATTGTTGCCGCCGCGTCGAGCTCCACCTTGATTTTCGTCCTTCTGCTTGGTCCAGCACCGCTCCGCCGTGTGCCCCAATTTTCCGCAGTATGTACACTGGCGAGGTTCACGCTCGGCACTGAACGCCTTCGCCGTGTCTTCAGTCTTCACCGATGTCGTCTTGTCACCTTGCCTCTTGATGTGCTCATTCGTGAGCACTCTCACGACGTCTCGCGATCGCAGTTCCGAGCTGCTCATCTCCAAGTTGAGAACGACGTTCTCGTAGCTCTTGGGAGGCTGCGCAACAAGCAGATCGCCACGTCCTCGTCCTCCATCTTGGCGCCGATGCTGCTGAGCTTCGCGCTGATGTTGAGGACTTCGTTGCAATGATGCATCACATTGCCGCCTTCCGCCATCTCCATGCTGAACAGCTGGCGCTTCAAGTAGATGCGTCCAGCCTTCTGCGACCCGCCGTACAGCGTCTTCAAACGCGCCCACGCGACCCACGCCTCTTCACAGTCATCAACCACGTGATGATAATCCGCGCTCATGTGCAGAAGCATCAAGCCGAACGCAATGTTGTTCGTCTTGACGTAGTCGTCACTGGCGCGAGGATCGGCGAAGGTGGGGGGTGGTCTCCCGGTTCACCACGTGCCACGCCGACTTGGTCAGGAACACGCCACGCATGTAGCGGCTCCACGTCGCGTAGTTGTTGCCGTCGAACTTGTCGATGGAGATCTTGGTGGTGGCATCATGAGCAGAGGACATCGTGCTTGGGCTCATAACCTGTTGATTGGTAAAAAGCTTGACGACCGAAATTGGGAGTGATGCTGGGAGTCTACTCGGAAGACCGGAAAAGACACTTGGGGGGTAGATGGAAGATTCGAAAGTGATTGATTATCGGGACTTACTACTTACTACATGATTTATATGTGGTGTACATATAAATCATGTGAAGCGTCTCATCATCCTACGCGTCTAATCAACTATGGTAATTACCGTAAGAACTACGTCGTAAATACTAGGCTGAACAGGCGGTTCGGATTGGACCGGTCACGGTTACCAACACTGGTAGAAAACCGATGACCGTCAACACACATATAAATCATGTGAAGCGTCTCATCATCCTACGCGTCTAATCAACTATGGTAATTACCGTAAGAACTACGTCGTAAATACTAAGCTGAACAGGCGGTTCGGATTGGACCGGTCACGGTTACCAATACTGGTAGAAACCGATGACCGTCAACACGCCCCCTCAATCCGAACTCGCACGAATGCCGAGAGCCGTCGTCAAGTCCTTGTGACGAGGTCCCGAAAGTCCCTTGGTCATGATGTCCGCCATCATCACGGAAGTCTCGCAATACTCGAGCTTCACTTCACCGCGCTTGACCTCATCACGGATGTGATGGTACTTGATGTCGATGTGCTTGGCGCGGCCATAATTCACCGGATTCTTCGTCATCTTGATGCACGACTGGTTGTCTTCACGGATGATGAGGTCCGGTCCTGGTTCGTTTGCGGCCGCCAAAATCTCGCATAGCAGGCGATGCACCCACTTGCCTTCCTGGATGGCCAGACTCAGTGCGATGTATTCCGCTTCACTCGTCGACAGCGACACACTTGACTGCTTCTTGCTTCCCCAACTCACAGGAGCACCCATCAGCATAAAAGTGTAACCCGAAGTCGACTTGCGATCAGCGTGGTCGCCGGCCCAGTCCGCGTCCGAGTAGCCACGAAAGTCGATCTTGTCGCTTGGCTGGAAGCGGAGTCCGTGCGACTTGGTCCCTTGCAAGTAACGAAAGATGCGCTTCACCGCCGTCCAATGGTCTTGCTGCGGATTCTCCATGAGCGCGAGACGTACCCCACAGCATACGCAATGTCCGGGCGCGTCGCAGTCGTCAAGTGCATCAAAGCTCCCACAGCTTCACGAAACGGAACGTCGATCTTGGCCGCTTCGCTGCTTGCGACAAGCCGAGTGCTCAAGTCGACCGGACTTGCTGTGGCCTTGCACTCATCCATGCCGAAGCGCTTGAGGATGTCGTTGACATACCGTCGCTGGCACATCGTCACGCTGCCATCCGATTCGTCCACCAGTTCGATGCCCAGTACAAAAGTACACTTGCCACTGTCGGTCATCTCGAAACGCGTCTTGAGGTCGGCCTTCGTCTGCGCAATCAACTCGAGCGAGCTGCCGGTGACCAACACGTCATCCACGTAGACCAGCACGAGCACACAGTGACCGTCGACAACCTTGATGTAGAGACATGGGTCGAACGCCGACACTTCGAAACCGATAAAGCATACGAACTCGTCGAAAGTCTCGTTCCACACACGTGAAGCTTGCTTGAGACCGTAGATCGCCTTCACCAACTCGAGACAGTCGAAGTCGCCATCCATCTCGACGCCTTCTGGTATCACGCAGTACACCTTCTCCTTCATCACTCCGTAGAGAAAGGCTGTCACCACATCGAGTTGGTCCAGTGGCCAGTCGAAATACTTGGTGATCGCGATCACCATACGCAGTGTCACGTACTTGACCACGGGCGAGAACGTCTCTGTGTAGTCGATGCCGTACTTCTGCTTGAAGCCCTTGGCAAAGAGACGCGCCTTGTATTTCTCGACCGATCCATCCGCTTTGCGCTTGATCTTGAACACCCACTTGGTGCCGATCGCGCCTTGGACTCTCGGAAGTTTTGCCGCACGGAAAACTCCACGAAGATGCATCGACTTGAGTTCCGTCTTCACAGCATTTCGCCAGTGAGCTTGATCAGGACCATTGATCGCGTCTTGAAAAGTCACAGGTTCTGCTAGGTCCGTTGCTTCCACTGCGTTTGCACTTGCACGCCAAAATGTTGGAGGCGTCGAGTCGTCATCTTGATCGTAGACGCTTGCATCTTCTTCGTCATCAGACATCGTTTCTGGAGCACTTGATCGTCGTTTCTGGTGACGGTTGGAGACGTGTTCCGGCGCACTTGCTTGTTCCAACCCAGTTCAAGGGCGAGCTGAACGTGACATGCCGGGTCTTGCTTCACTCTTGCGCTTGCCAGTCTGATTGTAGACGGTTTGACGCACGTCGTCCTCGTTGATCGCCAGGAGGTCGAGGTCCAACTCCGCATCTTCATCATCGTCACTTGGTCGGTCCATCGAAAAGTCAAAAGTCGATTCGTCGAAGGTGATGTCACGACTGATCACCACTTGGCCCGCCTCAATGTCGTACACTCAATAAGCTTTTGAAGCTTCTTCGTAGCCCATGAACATCCCTTCACGAGCCTTTGGGTCCCACTTCAATCGCTTCTCCCTTGGTGTCAGGATAAACGCCCGACATCCAAACACGCGCATGTGGTTGACACTTGGTTTCGACTTGTACACGATTTCGAACGGAGTCTTGTGGTAGATCTTGGGTGAAGGCAGGCGGTTCTTGATGTAGATCGCCGTCATTGCCGCTTCAGCCCAGAAACACTTCTCCAGTTTTGCATGATGCAACAAGCTGCGTCCGATCGTGACGATGGTCCTTATCGCGCGTTCTGCGGTGCCGTTGGTCTGACTGCATGATACAGAAGGTCGAGATGGATGGCGATGTCTCGAGTTGGCAGGTGATCTGTTTAAGTTCAAGCGTTAATGCAGGAAACGAGACTTTCGACGAGTTCGTATGCTTTATCGGTTTCAAAGTGTCGGCCTTCAAGTTCCGCAACAATCAACTCGAGCGAGCCGCTCGTGACTAACACGTCATCCACAGACCAGCACGAGCACAGTGACCGTCGACAACCTTGATGTAGAGACATGGGTCGAACGCCGACACTTGAAACCGATAAAGCATACGAACTCGTCGAAAGTCTCGTTTCACACGTGAAGCTTGCTTGAGACCGTAGATCGCCTCACCAACTCGAGACAGTCGAAGTCGCCATCCATCTCGACGCCTTCTGGTATCATGCAGCACACCCTACTTCATCACTCCGTAGAGCAAAGGCTGTCACCACATCGAGCTGGTCCAGCGGCCAGTCGAAATACTGGCATCGCGATCACCATACGCAGTGTCACGTACTTGACCACGGGCGAGAACGTTCCTGTGTAGTCGATGCCGTACTTCTGCTTGAAGCCCCGGCAAATTGAGACGCGCCTGTATTTCGACCGATCCATCCGCTTTGCGCTTGATCTTGAACACCCACTTGCGCCGATCGCGCCTTGGCCTCTTGGCATACGGCACGGAAACTCCACAGAAGATGCATCGATTCTGAGTTCCGCCTTCACAGCATTTCTCCAGTGAGCTTGATCAGGACAATTGATCGCATCTTGAAAAGTCACAGGTTCTGCTAGGTCCGTTGCTTCCAATTACGTTTGCACTTGCACGCCAAAATGTTGGAGGTGTCGAGTCGTCATCTTGATCGTGGACGCTCGCATCTTCTTCGTCATCAGACATCGTTTCTGGAGCACTTTGATCGTCGTTTCTGGTGACGGTTGAGACGTGTTCCGCGCACTTGCTTGTTCCAATCCAGTTCGAGGGCGAGCTGAACGTGACATGCCGGGTCTTGCTTCACCGCGCTGCCAGTCTGCTTGTAGACGGTTTGACACGTCGTCCTCGTTGGACGCCAGGAGTAAGGTCGAGGTCCAACTCCGCATCTTCATCATCGTCACTTGGTCGGTCCATCGAAAAGTCAAAAAGTCGATTCGTCGAAGGTGATGTCACGATCGATCACCACTCTTGGCCCGCCTCAATGTCGTACACTCGATAAGCTTTGACGCTTCTTCGTAGCCCATGAACATCCCTTCACGAGCCTTCGGGTCCCACTTCAATCGCTTCTCCCTTGGTGTCAGGATAAACGCCCTGACATCCAAACACGCGCATGTGCTTGACACTTGGTTTCGACTTGCAATATCGATCTCGAACCGAGTCTTGTGGTCGATCTTGAAGGCAGGCGGTTCTTGATGTAGATCGCCGTTATTGCCGCTTTCCAGCCTAGAAACACTTCTCCAGCTTTGCATGATGCAACAAGCTGCGTCCGATCGTGACGATGGTCCTTATCGCGCGTCGGCGGTGCCGTTGGTCTGGTGTGTATACGGTACCGTGTGATCTGTTGTTCGATACCATGATTTTTGTAGAAGGTCTTGATCGAGTTGGTCGCAAACTCATACGCTCCATCGTGCCGAACAAACTTTGATCTTCGTGCCGAACTGAGTCTGAATCTTGATAATGTGTCTGATACAGTCTTCACTCTCAGACTTGGACCGCAGACAGCTTTCATGCAACCGCTGCTTGTCAACTACAAAGCAGCAAGTATCTTCTGCCGCCGATCGAGACTTGTTCCATTGGCCCGCAGATGTCGAAGTGCAGCAACTTTAATGCACCATAGGCTGGCGTTTGTCACTTGGTTGGTTGGGAATGGTTTTTAGACCATCTTTCTGCTGGCAACCGCCGACACACACTTGACCAGTCGAGTTGGAGGTGCCTCGGCGTCCTTTGATCATGCCGGTGGCCACCATCTGCGCAGAACTTCGAGGGGTGCATGACCCATGCGCGCATGCAAGCCGATAGTCCCATTGCGTGTTGCTGCATTTTTGCTGGGATCGTTGAGGAGTCCGCAGCCAGTAAAGTCCATCGACGAGATACGCTGTTGCCACGACTTGCGGGAATTCTTATCACTTGCATCTTGGACCCATCGAACACGACTTGAACGTGCCACCCTTGTTGATCTGTGGCACCGAAGCAGATTCTTGCTCATACTGGTACAAACAGTGCGTCCTTTGTCTCTGATGTCGTTCGTCACCATTGGGCAGAACCACCCGTTCCATGATGGTTCACACCCTTGATCGCAGCCTTGCTGCCATCAGCCACTGATAGTTCGCCTTTCCTCTCGCTCATTCAGGCTGCAACTCGTTTGTCGTTGCAGATGTGATGCGTCGCACCGCTGTCGACTGCCCACATCCCTGGCATATTCTTGCCCGTCGAAAGTCCAGCCTGCAGCGTAACCGCGAATGCAACTCGATCGTAGTTGTCGTCGTAGGTGCTGTTGATTCGCCACTGAACGTTGTTGGCTCCGCGTCCACGAGCATTGTTGCCGCCGCGTCGAGCTCCACCTTGATTTTCGTCCTTCTGCTTGGTCCAGCACCGCTCCGCCGTGTGCCCCAATTTTCGGCAGTATGTACACTGTCTAGGTTCACGCTCGGCATTGGGCCTTCGCCGCGTCTTCAGTCTTCACCGATGTCGTCTTGTCACCTTTCCTCGTGATGAGCTCATTCGTGAGCACTCTCACGACGTCTCGCGATCGCAGTTCCGCGCTGCTCATCTCCAAGTTGAGAACGACGTTCTCGTAGCTCTTGGGGAGGCTGCACAACAAGCAGATCGCCACGTCCTCATCCTCCATCTTGGCACCGATAATGCTGAGCTTCGCGCCATGGAGAACTTCACGTTGGCGGTGCTTGGTATGAGTCGAGAACTGGTGTCGGTTGGGCTGCGACGCCTTGCAGTCGCTCATTGGGTGCCAAAACGTTTGAGGACATCTTCCCATGTAGCGTCGCCGGCAATATCGTCACGGGCGCTACCGTTGTCGTTGTCCACCAGCTCGATGCTCCAACACGAATGCGCACTTGCCGCTGTCAGTCATTTCCTGAAACGCGCCTTTAAGTCACTCTTGGTGCGCATAATCAGTTCGGTTGATCTGCCAGTCACCAACACATCATCGACGTATACCAGCAAAAGCACGCACCGTTGATTGGGTGAAAAGCTTGACGACCGAAACTGAGTGATGCTGGTCCACTGGAAGACCGGAGAAGACACTTGGGGGTAGATGGAATATTCGAAAGTGATTGATTATCGAGGCTGATTATTATTACATGATTTATATGTGGTGCACATATAAATCATGTGAAGCGTCTCATCATCCTATGCGTCTAATCAACTAAGGTAATTACCGCAAGAACTACGTCGTAAATACTAAGCTGAACAGGCGGTTCGGGATTTTGACCGGTCACGGTTACCAATACTGGTAGAAACCGATGACCGTCAACACGCTCCCCTCAATCCGCGAACTGCACGAATGCCGAGAGCCGTCGTCAAGTCCTTGTGGCGAGGTCCCGAAAGTCCTTTGGTCATGATGTCCGCCATCATCACGGAAGTCTCGCAATACCTTCGAGCTGCGCCACCGCGCTTGACCTCATCACGGATGATGGTACGATGTCGATGTGCTTGGCGCGGCCATGATTCACCGGATTTTTCGTCATCTGATGCACGACTGGTTGTCTTCACGGATGACGAGGTCCGGTCCGGTTCTGCTTCACAGCCGCCAAAATCTCGCATAGCAGGCGATGCACCCACTTGCCTTCCTGGATGGCCAGACTCAGTGCGATGTATTCCGCTTCACTCGTCGACAGCGACACACTTTGACTGCTTCTTGCTTCCCCAACTCACAGGAGTACCCATCAGCATGGTGTGCGTAACTCAAGTCGATCGGCGATCAGCGTGGTCGCCGGCCCAGTCCGCGTCCGAGTAGCCACGAAAGTCGATCTTTGTCGCTTGGCTGGAAGTATCCGTGCGACTGGTCCTTGCAAGTAACGAAAGATGCGCTTCACCGCTGTCCAATGTTGTTGCTGCGGATTCTCCATGAAGCGCGAGACGTACCCTCACAGCATACGCAATGTCCGGGCGTTGCCGCAGTCGTCAAGTGCATCAAAGCTCCCACAGCTTCACTTGTAGAAACGGAACGTCGATCTTGGCCGCTTCGCTTGCGACAAGCCGAGGCTCAAGTCGACCGACTTGCTGTGGCCTTGCACTCATCCATGCCGAAGCGCTTGAGGATGTCGTTGACATACTGTCTGGTACATCGTCACGCTGCCATCCGATTCGTCCACCAGTTCGATGGCCAGTACAAAGTACACTTGCCACTGTCGGTCATCTCGAAACGCGTCTTGAGGTCGGCCTTTTGTCTGCGCAATCAACTCCGGAGCGGAGCTGCTGCACCAACACGTCATCCACGTAGACCAGCACGAGCACACAGTGACCGTCGACAACCTGGATGGGAGATATGGTCGAACGCCGACACTTTGAAACCGATAAAGCATACGAACCGTCGAAAGTCTCGTTTCACACGTGAAGCTTGCTTGAGACCGCAGACGCCTTCTTCACCAACCCGAGACAGTCGAAGTCGCCATCCATCTCGACGCCTTCTGGTATCATGCAGTACACCTTCTACTTCATCACTCCGTAGAGAAAGGTCACCACATCGAGCTTATCCAGTGGCCAGTTGTTACTCTTGGTGATCGCGATCACACGCAGTGTCACGTACTTGACCACGGGCGAACGTCTCTGTGTAGTCGATGCCGTACTTCGCTTGAAGCCCTTGGCAACAGACGCGCCTTGTATTTCTGACCGATCCATCCGCTTTGCGCTTGATCTTGAACACCCACTTGGTGCCTATCGCGCCTTGGCCTTTGCAGCTTTTGCCGCACGGAAAACTCCACGAAGCTGCATCGACTCGAGTTCCGCCTTCACAGCATTTCTCCAGTGAACTTGATCAGACCATTGATCGCGTCTTGAAAAGTCACAGGTTCTGTTAGGGTCCGTTGCTTCCACTACTGCCGCACTTGTACGCCAAAATGATGAAGGCGTCGAGCCGTCATCTTGATCGTGGACGCTCGCATCTTCTTCTCGTCATCAGACATCGTTTCTGGAGCACTTGATCGTCGTTTCTGGTGACGGTTGAGTCGTGTTCCGGCGCACTTGCTGACCTAATCCAGTTCGAGGGCGAGCTGAATGACATGCCGGGTCTTGCTTCACTCTTGCGCTTGCCAGTTGCTTGTAGACGGTTTGACGCACGTCGTCCTCGTTGATCGCCAGGAGGTCGAGGTCCAACTCCGTATCTTTCATCATCGTCACTTGGCCGGTCTATCGAAAAGTCAAAAGTCGATTCGTCGAAGGTGATGTCACGACTGATCACCCTTTGGCCCGCCTCAATGTCGCAAGCTACCTGATAAGCTTTGACGCTTCTTCGTAGCCTATGAACATCCCTTCACGAGCCTTCTTCTACCCACTTCACCGCTTCTCCCCTTGGTGTCAGGATAAACGCCCAACATTCAAACACGCACATGTAAAGCTTGACACTGGTTTCGACTTGTACACGATTTCGAACGGAGTCTTGTGGTCGATCTTGGGTGAAGGCAGGCGGTTCTTGATGTAGATCGCCGTCATTGCGGCTTCAGCCCAGAAACACTTCTCCAGCCTTGCATGATGCAACAAGCTGCGTCCGATCGTGACGATGGTCCTTATCGCGCGTTCTGCGGTGCCGTTGGTCTGGTGCATACGGTACCGTGATCTGTTGCTCGATACCATGATTTTTGTAGAAGGTCTGATCGAGTTGGTCGCAAACCCATACGCTCCATCGTGCCGACAAACTTGATCTTCGTGCCGAACTGAGTCTGAATCTTGATAATGTGGCTCTTGATACAGTCTTCACTCAGACTTGGACCGCAGACAGAGCCTTTCATGCAACCGCTGGCTTCGTCAATCCCAAGCAGTAAGTATTCGCTGCCGCCGATCGAGACTTGTTCCATTGGCCCGCAGATGTCGATGCAACTCGAACACACCATATTGGCGTTTGTCACGGTTGGGTTGGGGAATGGTTTTTGGACCACCTTTTCCTCGCTGGCAACCGCGACATACACTTGACCAGTCGAGTTGAGGTGCCTGGGCGTCCTTGATCATGCCGGTGGCCACCATCTTGCGCAGAACTTCGAGGTGTATGACCTATGCGCGCATGCAAGTTCGATAGTCCCATTGCGTGTTGCTGCATTTGCCGATCGTTGAGGAGTCCGCAGCCAGTAAAAAGTCCATCGACGAGATCCGCTGTTGCCACGACTTTGTGTGGAATTCTTGCGTATCACTTGCATCTTGACCCATCGAACACGACTTGGAACCTGCCACCCTTGTTGATCTGTGGCACTGAAAGCAGATTCTTGCTCATACTTGGTACAAACAGTGCGTCCTTGATCTCGATGTCGCGTTCGTCACCATTGGGCAGAACCACCCGTTCCATGATGGTTCCACACCCTTGATCGCAGCCTTGCTGCCATCAGCCACCATGCTCGCCTTCCTTCGCTCATTCAGGCTTGCAAACTTTGCCTTGTCGTTGCAGATGTGATGCGGTCGCACGCTGTCGACTGCCCACATCCCTGGCATATTCTTGCCCGTCGAAAGTCCAGCCTGCAGCGAAACCGCGAATGCAACTCGATCGTAGTTGTCGTCGTAGCTTGTTGATTCGCCACTGAACGTTGTTGGCTCCGCGTCCACGAGCATTGCTGCTGCCGCGTCGAGCTCCACCTTGATTTTCGTCCTTCTGCTTGGTCCAGCACCGCCCGCCGTGTGCCCCAATTTATCGCAGTATGTACACTCCGTCGAGGTTCACGCTCGGCACTGAACGCCTTTGCCGCGTCTTCAGTCTTCCTCACCGATGTCGTTCTGTCACCTTGCCTTCTGATGAGCTCATTCGTGAGCACCTCACGACGCTCAAGTGATCGCAGTCCCGGCCTGCTCATCTCCAAGTTGAGAACGACGTTCGTAGCTCTTGGGGAGCCTGCACATCAGCAGATCGCCACGTCCTCATCCTCCATCTTGGCACCGATAATGCTGAGCTTCCCGCTGATGTGGAGAACTTCATTACGGTGGTGCTTGGTATGAGTCGAGAACTGGTGCCGGTCCGGCTGGTGACGGCTTTGCAGTCGCTCATGCCAAAACGTTTGAGTGCCTTCTTCCACGTAGCGTCACCGGCACATCGTCACGTTACCGTTGTCGTTGTCCACCAGCCTGATGCCCAACACGAATGCGCAAAGTACTTGCGCTGTCAGTCATTTCGAAACGCGCCTTAAGTCACCTAGGCTAATCAGTTCGGTTGAGCTGCCAGTCACCAACACATCATCGACGTCTACCAGCAAAAGCATGCACTCGCTGTTGATAAAGTGAAAAGCCTACACGACCGAAACTGGGAGTGATGCTGGGAGTCCACCGGAAGACCGGAGAAGACACTTGGGGGTAGATGGAAGATTTGGAAAGTGATTATCTATCGGGCTATTAGTTATTACATGATTTATATGTGGTGCACATATAAACCATGTGAAGCGCCCCATCATCCTATGTGTCTAATCAACTATGGTAATTACCGTAAGAACTACGTCGTAATACTAGTTGAACAGGCGGTTCGATTGGACCGGTCACGGTTACCAATACTGGTAGAAACCGATGACCGTCAACACGCTCCTCAATCCGAACTCGCAATGAATGCCGAGAGCCGTCGTCAAGTCCTTGTGGCGAGGTCCCGAAAGTCCCTTGGTCATGATGTCCGCCATCATCACAGTCTCGCAATACTCGAGCTGCACTTCACTGCGTTGACCTCATCACGGTTGTGATGGTACTTGATGTCGACGTGCTTGGCACGGCCATAGTTGACAGGATTATCGTCATCTTGATGCACGATTGATTGTCTTCTATGATGACGAGGTCCGGTCCTGGTTCGTTTGCGGCCGCCAAAATCTCGCATAGCAGGCGATGCACCCACTTGCCTTCCTGATGGCCAGACTCAGTGCGATGTATTCCGCTTCACTCGTAGACAGCGACACACTTGTCTGCTTCTTGCTTCCCCCAACTCACAGGAGCACCCATCAGCATGAAAGTGTAACCCGACGTCGAGTTCTCAGATCAGCGTGGTCGCCGGCCCAGTACGCGTCCGAGTAGCCACGAAAGCTGATCTTGTCGCTTGGCTGGAAGCGGAGTCCGTGCGGACTTGGTCCCTGGTAAGTAACGAAAGATGCGCTTCACCGCCGTCCAATGTTGTTGCCGTGAGATTCTCCATGAAGCGCGAGACGTAACCCACAGCATACGCAATGTCCGGGCGCGTCGTAGTCGTCAAGTGCATCAAAGCTCCCACAGCTTCACGAAACGGAACGTCGATCTTGGCCGCTTCGCTGCTTGCGACAAGCCGAGTGCTCAAGTCGACCGGAATTGCTGTGGCCTTGCACTCATCCATGCCGAAGCGCTTGAGGATGTCGTTGACATACCGTCGCTGGCACATCGTCACGCTGCCATCCGATTCGTCCACCAGTTCGATGCCCAGTACAAAAGTACACTTGCCACTGTCGGTCATCTCGAAACGCGTCTTGAGGTCGGCCTTCGTCTGCGCAATCAACTCGAGCGAGCTGCCGGTGACCAACACGTCATCCACGTAGACCAGCACGAGCACACAGTGACCGTCGACAACCTTGATGTAGAGACATGGGTCGAACGCCGACACTTCGAAACCGATAGATCATACGAACTCGTCGAAAGTCTTGTTCCACACACGTGAAGCTTGCTTGAGACCGTAGATCGCCTTCACCAACTCGAGACAGTCGAAGTCTCCATCCATCTCGACGCCTTCTGGTATCACGCAGTACACCTTCTCCTTCATCACTCCGTAGAGAAAGGCTGTCACCACATCGACTTGGTCCAGTGGCCAGTCGAAATACTTGGTGATCGCGATCACCATACGCAGTGTCACGTACTTGACCACGGGCGAGAACGTCTCTGTGTAGTCGATGCCGTACTTCTGCTTGAAGCCCTTGGCAACGAGACGCGCCTTGTATTTCTCGACCGATCCATCCGCTTTGCGCTTGATCTTGAACACCCACTTGGTGCCTATCGCGCCTTGGCCTCTTGGCAGTTTTGCCGCACGGAAAACTCCACGAAGATGCATCGACTTGAGTTCCGCCTTCACAGCATTTCGCCAGTGAGCTTGATCAGGACCATTGATCGCGTCTTGAAAAGTCACAGGTTCTGCTAGGTCCGTTGCTTCCACTGCGTTTGCACTGGCACGCCAAAATGTTGGAGGCGTCGAGGCGTCATCTTGATTGTAGACGCTCGCATCTTCTTCGTCATCAGACATCGTTTCTGGAGCACTTGATTGTCGTTTCTGGTGACGGTTGGAGACGTGTTCCGGCGCACTTGCTTGTTCCAACCCAGTTCGAGGGCGAGCTGAACGTGACATGCCGGGTCTTGCTTCACTCTTGCGCTTGCCAGTCTGCTTGTAGACGGTTTGACGCACGTCGTCCTCGTTGATCGCTAGGAGGTCGAGGTCCAACTCCGCATCTTCATCATCGTCACTTGGTCGGTCCATCGAAAAGTCAAAAGTCGATTCGTCGAAGGTGATGTCACGACTGATCACCACTTGGCCCGCCTCAATGTCGTACACTCGATAAGCTTTTGACGCTTCTTCGTAGCCCATGAACATCCCTTCACGAGCCTTCGGGTCCCACTTCAATCGCTTCTCCCTTGGGGTCAGGATAAACGCCCGACATCCAAACACGCGCATGTGCTTGACACTTGGTTTCGACTTGTACACGATCTCGAACGGAGTCTCGTGGTCGATCTTGGGTGAAGGCAGGCGGTTCTTGATGTAGATCGCCGTCATTGCCGCTTCAGCCCAGAAACGCTTCTCCAGCTTTGCATGATGCAACAAGCTCCGTCCGATCGTGACGATGGTCCTTATCGCGCGTTCTGCGGTGCCGTTGGTCTGGTGTGCATACGGCACCGTGACCTGTTGTTCGATACCATGATCTTCGTAGAAGGTCTTGATCGAGTTGGTCGCAAACTCATGCGCTCCATCGTGCCGAACAAACTTGATCTTCGTGCCGAACTGATTCTGAATCTTGATAATGTGGTTCTTGATACAGACTTCACTCTCAGAATTGGACCGCAGACAGAAGCCCTTCATGCAACCGCTGGCTTCGTCAACCACAAGCAGTAAGTATCTGCTGCCGCCGATCGAGACTTGTTCCATTGGCCCGCAGGTGTCAAAGTGCAGCAACTCGAACACACCATATTGGCGTTTGTCACGGTTGGTTGGGAATGGTTTTGGACCATCTTTCCTTGCTGGTAACCGCGACACACACTTGGACCAGTCGAGTTGAGAGGTGCCTTTGCGTCCTTGATCATGCCGGTGGCCACCATCTTGCGCAGAACTTCGAGGGGTGCATGACCCATGCGCGCATGCAAGTCGATAGTCCCATTGCGTGTTGCTGCATTCGCCGATCGTTGAGTAGTCCGCAGCCAGTAAAGTCCATCGACGAGGTCCGCCGTTGCCACGACTTGTGTGGAATTCTTGCGCTTCACTTGCATCTTGGATCCATCGAACACGACTTGAAACTTGCCACCCTTGTAAATCTGCGGCACCGATAACAGATTCTTGTTCATCTTCGGCACGAACAATGCATCCTTGATTTCGATGTCGCGTTCGTCACCATTGGGCAGAACCACCCGTTCCATGATGGTTCCCACACCCTTGATCGCAGCCTTGCTGCCATCAGCCACTGATAGTTCGCCTTCCTCTCGCTCATTCAGGCTTGCAAACTTGGCCTTGTCGTTGCAGATGTGATGCGTCGCACCGCTGTCGACTGCCCACATCCCTGGCATATTCTTGCTCGTCGAAAGTCCAGCCTCCAGCGAAACCGTGAACGCAACTCGATCGTAGTTGTCGTCGTAGTTGCTGTTGGTTCGCCACTGAACGTTGTTGGCTCCGCGTCTACGAGCATTGTTGCCGCCGCGTCGAGCTCCACCTTGATTTTCGTCCTTCTGCTTGGTCCAGCACCGCTCCGCCGTGTGCCCCAATTTTCCGCAGTATGTACACTGGCGAGGTTCACGCTCGGCACTGAACGCCTTCGCCGCGTCTTCAGTCTTCACCGATGTCGTCTTGTCACCTTGTCTCTTGATGTGCTCATTCGTGAGCACTCTCACGACGTCTCGCGATCGCAGTTCCGCGTTGCTCATCTCCAAGCTGAGAACGACGTTCTCGTAGCTCTTGGGGAGGCTGCGCAACAAGCAGATCGCCACGTCCTCGTCCTCCATCTTGGCGCCGATGCTGCTGAGGTTCGCGCTGATGTTGAGGACTTCGTTGCAATGATGCATCACATTGCCGCCTTCCGCCATCTCCATGCTGAACAGCTGGCGCTTCAAGTAGATGCGTCCAGCCTTCTGCGACCCGCCGTACAGCGTCTTCAAACGCGCCCACGCGACCCACGCCTCTTCACAGTCATCGACGATGTGATGGTAGTCTGCGTCCATGTGCAGCAACATCAATCCGAAAGCGATGTTGTTGGCCTTGACGTAGTCGTCCATGGCGCGATCGTCCGCGTAGGTCGGTGACGTCTCCCGGTTCACCACGTGCCACGTCGACTTGGTCAGGAACACGCCACGCATGTAGCGGCTCCATGTCGCGTAGTTGTCGCCGTCGAACTTGTCAATGGAGATCTTGGTGGTGGCATCATGAGCAGAGGACATCGTGCTTGGGCTCATAACCTGTTGAAAGGTGCGAAGCTTGACGACCGAAACTGGGAGGGATGCTGGGAGTCCACTCGGAAGACCGCAGAAGACACTTGGGGGTAGATGGAAGATTGTAAAGTGATTGATTTTCGGGGCTTACTACTTACTACATGATTTAAATGTGGTGCACATATAAATCATGTGAAGCGTCTCATCATCCTACGCGTCTAATCAACTATGGTAATTACCGTAAGAACTACGTCGTAAATACTAAGCTGAACAGGCGGTTCGGATTGGACCGGTCACGGTTACCAATACTGGTAGGAAACCGATGACCGTCAACACGCCCTCTCAATCCGAACTCGCACGAATGCCGAGAGCCGTCGTCAAGTCCTTGTGGCGAGGTCCAGAAAGTCCCTTGGTCATGATGTCCGCCATCATCACGGAAGTCTCGCAAAACTCGAGCTGCACTTCACCGCGCTTGACCTCATCACGGATGTGATGGTACTTGATGCCGATGTTCTTGGCGCGGCCATGATTCACCGGATTCTTCGTCATCTTGATGCACGACTGGTTGTCTTCACGGATGACGAGGTCCGGTCCTGGTTCGTTTGCGGCCGCCAAAATCTCGCATAGCAGGCGATGCACCCACTTGCCTTCCTGGATGGCCAGACTCAGTGCGATGTATTCCGCTTCACTCGTCGACAGCGACACACTTGACTGCTTCTTGCTTCCCCAACTCACAGGAGCACCCATCAGCATGAAAGTGTAACCCGAAGTCGACTTGCGATCAGCGTGGTCGCCGGCCCAGTCCGCGTCCGAGTAGCCACGAAAGTCGATCTTGTCGCTTGGCTGGAAGCGGAGTCCGTGCGACTTGGTCCCTTGCAAGTAACGAAAGATGCGCTTCACCGCCGTCCAATGTTCTTGCTGCAGATTCTCCATGAAGCGCGAGACGTAACCCACAGCATACGCAATGTCCGGGCGCGTCGCAGTCGTCAAGTGCATCAAAGCTCCCACAGCTTCACGAAACGGAACGTCGATCTTGGCCGCTTCGCTGCTTGCGACAAGCCGAGTGCTCAAGTCGACCGGAATTGCTGTGGCCTTGCACTCATCCATGCCGAAGCGCTTGAGGATGTCGTTGACATACCGTCGCTGGCACATCGTCACGCTGCCATCCGATTCGTCCACCAGTTCGATGCCCAGTACAAAAGTACACTTGCCACTGTCGGTCATCTCGAAACGCGTCTTGAGGTCGGCCTTCGTCTGCGCAATCAACTCGAGCGAGCTGCCGGTGACCAACACGTCATCCACGTAGACCAGCACGAGCACACAGTGACCGTCGACAACCTTGATGTAGAGACATGGGTCGAACGCCGACACTTCGAAACCGATAGATCATACGAACTCGTCGAAAGTCTTGTTCCACACACGTGAAGCTTGCTTGAGACCGTAGATCGCCTTCACCAACTCGAGACAGTCGAAGTCGCCATCCATCTCGACGCCTTCTGGTATCACGCAGTACACCTTCTCCTTCATCACTCCGTAGAGAAAGGCTGTCACCACATCGACTTGGTCCAGTGGCCAGTCGAAATACTTGGTGATCGCGATCACCATACGCAGTGTCACGTACTTGACCACGGGCGAGAACGTCTCTGTGTAGTCGATGTCGTACTTCTGCTTGAAGCCCTTGGCAACGAGACGCGCCTTGTATTTCTCGACCGATCCATCCGCTTTGCGCTTGATCTTGAACACCCACTTGGTGCCTATCGCGCCTTGGCCTCTTGGCAGTTTTGCCGCACGGAAAACTCCACGAAGATGCATCGACTTGAGTTCCGCCTTCACAGCATTTCGCCAGTGAGCTTGATCAGGACCATTGATCGCGTCTTGAAAAGTCACAGGTTCTGCTAGGTCCGTTGCTTCCACTGCGTTTGCACTGGCACGCCAAAATGTTGGAGGCGTCGAGGCGTCATCTTGATTGTAGACGCTCGCATCTTCTTCGTCATCAGACATCGTTTCTGGAGCACTTGATTGTCGTTTCTGGTGACGGTTGGAGACGTGTTCCGGCGCACTTGCTTGTTCCAACCCAGTTCGAGGGCGAGCTGAACGTGACATGCCGGGTCTTGCTTCACTCTTGCGCTTGCCAGTCTGCTTGTAGACGGTTTGACGCACGTCGTCCTCGTTGATCGCTAGGAGGTCGAGGTCCAACTCCGCATCTTCATCATCGTCACTTGGTCGGTCCATCGAAAAGTCAAAAGTCGATTCGTCGAAGGTGATGTCACGACTGATCACCACTTGGCCCGCCTCAATGTCGTACACTCGATAAGCTTTTGACGCTTCTTCGTAGCCCATGAACATCCCTTCACGAGCCTTCGGGTCCCACTTCAATCGCTTCTCCCTTGGGGTCAGGATAAACGCCCGACATCCAAACACGCGCATGTGCTTGACACTTGGCTTCGACTTGTACACGATCTCGAACGGAGTCTCGTGGTCGATCTTGGGTGAAGGCAGGCGGTTCTTGATGTAGATCGCCGTCATTGCCGCTTCAGCCCAGAAACGCTTCTCCAGCTTTGCATGATGCAACAAGCTCCGTCCGATCGTGACGATGGTCCTTATCGCGCGTTCTGCGGTGCCGTTGGTCTGGTGTGCATACGGCACCGTGACCTGTTGTTCGATACCATGATCTTCGTGGAAGGTCTTGATCGAGTTGGTCGCAAACTCATGCGCTCCATCGTGCCGAACAAACTTGATCTTCGTGCCGAACTGATTCTGAATCTTGATAATGTGGTTCTTGATACAGACTTCACTCTCAGAATTGGACCGCAGACAGAAGCCCTTCATGCAACCGCTGGCTTCGTCAACCACAAGCAGTAAGTATCTGCTGCCGCCGATCGAGACTTGTTCCATTGGCCCGCAGGTGTCAAAGTGCAGCAACTCGAACACACCATATTGGCGTTTGTCACGGTTGGTTGGGAATGGTTTTTGGACCATCTTTCCTTGCTGGTAACCGCGACACACACTTGGACCAGTCGAGTTGAGAGGTGCCTTTGCGTCCTTGATCATGCCGGTGGCCACCATCTTGCACAGAACTTCGAGGGGTGCATGACCCATGCGCGCATGCAAGTCGATAGTCCCATTGCGTGTTGCTGCATTCGCCGATCGTTGAGTAGTCCGCAGCCAGTAAAGTCCATCGACGAGATCCGCTGTTGCCACGACTTGTGTGGAATTCTTGCGCTTCACTTGCATCTTGGATCCATCGAACACGACTTGAAACTTGCCACCCTTGTAAATCTGCGGCACCGATAACAGATTCTTGCTCATACTTGGTACGAACAGTGCGTCCTTGATCTCGATGTCGCGTTCGTCACCATTGGGCAGAACCACCCGTTCCATGATGGTTCCCACACCCTTGATCGCAGCCTTGCTGCCATCAGCCACTGATAGTTCGCCTTCCTCTCGCTCATTCAGGCTTGCAAACTTGGCCTTGTCGTTGCAGATGTGATGCGTCGCACCGCTGTCGACTGCCCACATCCCTGGCATATTCTTGCTCGTCGAAAGTCCGCCTCCAGCGAAACCGTGAACGCAACTCGATCGTAGTTGTCGTCGTAGTTGCTGTTGGTTCGCCACTGAACGTTGTTGGCTCCGCGTCTACGAGCATTGTTGCCGCCGCGTCGAGCTCCACCTTGATTTTCGTCCTTCTGCTTGGTCCAGCACCGCTCCGCCGTGTGCCCCAATTTTCCGCAGTATGTACACTGGCGAGGTTCACGCTCGGCACTGAACGCCTTCGCCGCGTCTTCAGTCTTCACCGATGTCGTCTTGTCACCTTGTCTCTTGATGTGCTCATTCGTGAGCACTCTCACGACGTCTCGCGATCGCAGTTCCGCGTTGCTCATCTCCAAGCTGAGAACGACGTTCTCGTAGCTCTTGGGGAGGCTGCGCAACAAGCAGATCGCCACGTCCTCGTCCTCCATCTTGGCGCCGATGCTGCTGAGGTTCGCGCTGATGTTGAGGACTTCGTTGCAATGATGCATCACATTGCCGCCTTCCGCCATCTCCATACTGAACAGCTGGCGCTTCAAGCAGATGTGCCCAGCCTTCTGAGATCCGCCGTACAGTGTCTTCAAACGCGCCCACGCGACCCACGCCTCTTCACAGTCATCGACGATGTGATGGTAGTCTGCGTCCATGTGCAGCAACATCAATCCGAAAGCGATGTTGTTGGCCTTGACGTAGTCGTCCATGGCGCGATCGTCCGCGTAGGTCGGTGACGTCTCCCGGTTCACCACGTGCCACGTCGACTTGGTCAGGAACACGCCACGCATGTAGTGGCTCCATGACGCGTAGTTGTCGCCGTCGAACTTGTCAATGGAGATCTTGGTGGTGGCATCATGAGCAGAGGACGTCGTGCTTGGGCTCATAACCTGTTGGAAGGTGCGAAGCTTGACGACCGAAACTGGGAGGGATGCTGGGAGTCCACTCGGAAGACCGCAGAAGACACTTGGGGGGTAGATGGAAGATTGTAAAGTGATTGATTTTCGGGGCTTACTACTTACTACATGATTTAAATGTGGTGCACATATAAATCATGTGAAGCGTCTCATCATCCTACGCGTCTAATCAACTATGGTAATTACCGTAAGAACTACGTCGTAAATACTAAGCTGAACAGGCGGTTCGGATTGGACCGGTCACGGTTACCAATACTGGTAGGAAACCGATGACCGTCAACACGCCCTCTCAATCCGAACTCGCACGAATGCCGAGAGCCGTCGTCAAGTCCTTGTGGCGAGGTCCAGAAAGTCCCTTGGTCATGATGTCCGCCATCATCACGGAAGTCTCGCAATACTCGAGCTGCACTTCACCGCGCTTGACCTCATCACGGATGTGATGGTACTTGATGCCGATGTTCTTGGCGCGGCCATGATTCACCGGATTCTTCGTCATCTTGATGCACGACTGGTTGTCTTCACGGATGACGAGGTCCGGTCCTGGTTCGTTTGCGGCCGCCAAAATCTCGCATAGCAGGCGATGCACCCACTTGTCTTCCTGGATGGCCAGACTCAGTGCGATGTATTCCGCTTCACTCGTCGACAGCGACACACTTGACTGCTTCTTGCTTCCCCAACTCACAGGAGCACCCATCAGCATGAAAGTGTAACCCGAAGTCGACTTGCGATCAGCGTGGTCGCCGGCCCAGTCCGCGTCCGAGTAGCCACGAAAGTCGATCTTGTCGCTTGGCTGGAAGCGGAGTCCGTGCGACTTGGTCCCTTGCAAGTAACGAAAGATGCGCTTCACCGCCGTCCAATGTTCTTGCTGCAGTTTCTCCATGAAGCGCGAGACGTAACCCACAGCATACGCAATGTCCGGGCGCGTCGCAGTCGTCAAGTGCATCAAAGCTCCCACAGCTTCACGAAACGGAACGTCGATCTTGGCCGCTTCGCTGCTTGCGACAAGCCGAGTGCTCAAGTCGACCGGAATTGCTGTGGCCTTGCACTCATCCATGCCGAAGCGCTTGAGGATGTCGTTGACATACCGTCGCTGGCACATCGTCACGCTGCCATCCGATTCGTCCACCAGTTCGATGCCCAGTACAAAAGTACACTTGCCACTGTCGGTCATCTCGAAACGCGTCTTGAGGTCGGCCTTCGTCTGCGCAATCAACTCGAGCGAGCTGCCGGTGACCAACACGTCATCCACGTAGACCAGCACGAGCAAACAGTGACCGTCGACAACCTTGATGTAGAGACATGGGTCGAACGCCGACACTTCGAAACCGATAGATCATACGAACTCGTCGAAAGTCTTGTTCCACACACGTGAAGCTTGCTTGAGACCGTAGATCGCCTTCACCAACTCGAGACAGTCGAAGTCGCCATCCATCTCGACGCCTTCTGGTATCACGCAGTACACCTTCTCCTTCATCACTCCGTAGAGAAAGGCTGTCACCACATCGACTTGGTCCAGTGGCCAGTCGAAATACTTGGTGATCGCGATCACCATACGCAGTGTCACGTACTTGACCACGGGCGAGAACGTCTCTGTGTAGTCGATGTCGTACTTCTGCTTGAAGCCCTTGGCAACGAGACGCGCCTTGTATTTCTCGACCGATCCATCCGCTTTGCGCTTGATCTTGAACACCCACTTGGTGCCTATCGCGCCTTGTCCTCTTGGCAGTTTTGCCGCACGGAAAACTCCACGAAGATGCATCGACTTGAGTTCCGCCTTCACAGCATTTCGCCAGTGAGCTTGATCAGGACCATTGATCGCGTCTTGAAAAGTCACAGGTTCTGCTAGGTCCGTTGCTTCCACTGCGTTTGCACTGGCACGCCAAAATGTTGGAGGCGTCGAGGCGTCATCTTGATTGTAGACGCTCGCATCTTCTTCGTCATCAGACATCGTTTCTGGAGCACTTGATTGTCGTATCTGGTGACGGTTGGAGACGTGTTCCGGCGCACTTGCTTGTTCCAACCCAGTTCGAGGGCGAGCTGAACGTGACATGCCGGGTCTTGCTTCACCCTTGCGCTTGCCAGTCTGCTTGTAGACGGTTTGACGCACGTCGTCCTCGTTGATCGCTAGGAGGTCGAGGTCCAACTCCGCATCTTCATCATCGTCACTTGGTCGGTCCATCGAAAAGTCAAAAGTCGATTCGTCGAAGGTGATGTCACGACTGATCACCACTTGGCCCGCCTCAATGTCGTACACTCGATAAGCTTTTGACGCTTCTTCGTAGCCCATGAACATCCCTTCACGAGCCTTCGGGTCCCACTTCAATCGCTTCTCCCTTGGGGTCAGGATAAACGCCCGACATCCAAACACGCGCATGTGCTTGACACTTGGTTTCGACTTGTACACGATCTCGAACGGAGTCTCGTGGTCGATCTTGGGTGAAGGCAGGCGGTTCTTGATGTAGATCGCCGTCATTGCCGCTTCAGCCCAGAAACGCTTCTCCAGCTTTGCATGATGCAACAAGCTCCGTCCGATCGTGACGATGGTCCTTATCGCGCGTTCTGCGGTGCCGTTGGTCTGGTGTGCATACGGCACCGTGACCTGTTGTTCGATACCATGATCTTCGTAGAAGGTCTTGATCGAGTTGGTCGCAAACTCATGCGCTCCATCGTGCCGAACAAACTTGATCTTCGTGCCGAACTGATTCTGAATCTTGATAATGTGGTTCTTGATACAGACTTCACTCTCAGAATTGGACCGCAGACAGAAGCCCTTCATGCAACCGCTGGCTTCGTCAACCACAAGCAGTAAGTATCTGCTGCCGCCGATCGAGACTTGTTCCATTGGCCCGCAGGTGTCAAAGTGCAGCAACTCGAACACACCATATTGGCGTTTGTCACGGTTGGTTGGGAATGGTTTTTGGACCATCTTTCTTGGCTGGTAACCGCGACACACACTTGGACCAGTCGAGTTGAGAGGTGCCTTGGCGTCCTTGATCATGCCGGTGACCACCATCTTGCGCAGAACTTCGAGGGGTGCATGACCCATGCGCGCATGCAAGTCGATAGTCCCATTGCGTGTTGCTGCATTCGCCGATCGTTGAGTAGTCCGCAGCCAGTAAAGTCCATCGACGAGATCCGCTGTTGCCACGACTTGTGTGGAATTCTTGCGCTTCACTTGCATCTTGGATCCATCGAACACGACTTGGAACCTGCCACCCTTGTTGATCTGTGGCACCGAAAGCAGATTCTTGCTCATACTTGGTACGAACAGTGCGTCCTTGATCTCGATGTCGCGTTCGTCACCATTGGGCAGAACCACCCGTTCCATGATGGTTCCCACACCCTTGATCGCAGCCTTGCTGCCATCAGCCACTGATAGTTCGCCTTCCTCTCGCTCATTCAGGCTTGCAAACTTGGCCTTGTCGTTGCAGATGTGATGCGTCGCACCGCTGTCGACTGCCCACATCCCTGGCATATTCTTGCTCGTCGAAAGTCCAGCCTCCAGCGAAACCGTGAACGCAACTCGATCGTAGTTGTCGTCGTAGTTGCTGTTGGTTCGCCACTGAACGTTGTTGGCTCCGCGTCTACGAGCATTGTTGCCGCCGCGTCGAGCTCCACCTTGATTTTCGTCCTTCTGCTTGGTCCAGCACCGCTCCGCCGTGTGCCCCAATTTTCCGCAGTATGTACACTGGCGAGGTTCACGCTCGGCACTGAACGCCTTCGCCGCGTCTTCAGTCTTCACCGATGTCGTCTTGTCACCTTGTCTCTTGATGTGCTCATTCGTGAGCACTCTCACGACGTCTAGCGATCGCAGTTCCGCGTTGCTCATCTCCAAGCTGAGAACGACGTTCTCGTAGCTCTTGGGGAGGCTGCGCAACAAGCAGATCGCCACGTCCTCGTCCTCCATCTTGGTGCCGATGCTGCTGAGGTTCGCGCTGATGTTGAGGACTTCGTTGCAATGATGCATCACATTGCCGCCTTCCGCCATCTCCATGCTGAACAGCTGGCGCTTCAAGTAGATGCGTCCAGCCTTCTGCGACCCGCCGTACAGCGTCTTCAAACGCGCCCACGCGACCTACGCCTCTTCACAGTCATCGACGATGTGATGGTAGTCCGCGTCCATGTGCAGCAACATCATTCCGAAAGCGATGTTGTTGGCCTTGACGTAGTCGTCCATGGCGCGATCGTCCGCGTAGGTCGGTGACGTCTCCCGGTTCACCACGTGCCACGTCGACTTGGTCAGGAACACGCCACGCATGTAGCGGCTCCATGTCGCGTAGTTGTCGCCGTCGAACTTGTCAATGGAGATCTTGGTGGTGGCATCATGAGCAGAGGACATCGTGCTTGGGCTCATAACCTGTTGAAAGGTGCGAAGCTTGACGACCGAAACTGGGAGGGATGCTGGGAGTCCACTCGGAAGACCGCAGAAGACACTTGGGGGGTAGATGGAAGATTGTAAAGTGATTGATTTTCGGGGCTTACTACTTACTACATGATTTAAATGTGGTGCACATATAAATCATGTGAAGCGTCTCATCATCCTACGCGTCTAATCAACTATGGTAATTACCGTAAGAACTACGTCGTAAATACTAAGCTGAACAGGCGGTTCGGATTGGACCGGTCACGGTTACCAATACTGGTAGGAAACCGATGACCGTCAACACGCCCTCTCAATCCGAACTCGCACGAATGCCGAGAGCCGTCGTCAAGTCCTTGTGGCGAGGTCCAGAAAGTCCCTTGGTCATGATGTCCGCCATCATCACGGAAGTCTCGCAATACTCGAGCTGCACTTCACCGCGCTTGACCTCATCACGGATGTGATGGTACTTGATGCCGATGTTCTTGGCGCGGCCATGATTCACCGGATTCTTCGTCATCTTGATGCACGACTGCTTCTTGCTTCCCCAACTCACAGGAGCACCCATCAGCATGAAAGTGTAACCCGAAGTCGACTTGCGATCAGCGTGGTCGCCGGCCCAGTCCGCGTCCGAGTAGCCACGAAAGTCGATCTTGTCGCTTGGCTGGAAGCGGAGTCCGTGCGACTTGGTCCCTTGCAAGTAACGAAAGATGCGCTTCACCGCCGTCCAATGTTCTTGCTGCAGATTCTCCATGAAGCGCGAGACGTAACCCACAGCATACGCAATGTCCGGGCGCGTCGCAGTCGTCAAGTGCATCAAAGCTCCCACAGCTTCACGAAACGGAACGTCGATCTTGGCCGCTTCGCTGCTTGCGACAAGCCGAGTGCTCAAGTCGACCGGAATTGCTGTGGCCTTGCACTCATCCATGCCGAAGCGCTTGAGGATGTCGTTGACATACCGTCGCTGGCACATCGTCACGCTGCCATCCGATTCGTCCACCAGTTCGATGCCCAGTACAAAAGTACACTTGCCACTGTCGGTCATCTCGAAACGCGTCTTGAGGTCGGCCTTCGTCTGCGCAATCAACTCGAGCGAGCTGCCGGTGACCAACACGTCATCCACGTAGACCAGCACGAGCAAACAGTGACCGTCGACAACCTTGATGTAGAGACATGGGTCGAACGCCGACACTTCGAAACCGATAGATCATACGAACTCGTCGAAAGTCTTGTTCCACACACGTGAAGCTTGCTTGAGACCGTAGATCGCCTTCACCAACTCGAGACAGTCGAAGTCGCCATCCATCTCGAAGTCTTCTGGTATCACGCAGTACACCTTCTCCTTCATCACTCCGTAGAGAAAGGCTGTCACCACATCGACTTGGTCCAGTGGCCAGTCGAAATACTTGGTGATCGCGATCACCATACGCAGTGTCACGTACTTGACCACGGGCGAGAACGTCTCTGTGTAGTCGATGTCGTACTTCTGCTTGAAGCCCTTGGCAACGAGACGCGCCTTGTATTTCTCGACCGATCCATCCGCTTTGCGCTTGATCTTGAACACCCACTTGGTGCCTATCGCGCCTTGGCCTCTTGGCAGTTTTGCCGCACGGAAAACTCCACGAAGATGCATCGACTTGAGTTCCGCCTTCACAGCATTTCGCCAGTGAGCTTGATCAGGACCATTGATCGCGTCTTGGAAAGTCACAGGTTCTGCTAGGTCCGTTGCTTCCACTGCGTTTGCACTGGCACGCCAAAATGTTGGAGGCGTCGAGGCGTCATCTTGATTGTAGACGCTCGCATCTTCTTCGTCATCAGACATCGTTTCTGGAGCACTTGATTGTCGTATCTGGTGACGGTTGGAGACGTGTTCCGGCGCACTTGCTTGTTCCAACCCAGTTCGAGGGCGAGCTGAACGTGACATGCCGGGTCTTGCTTCACCCTTGCGCTTGCCAGTCTGCTTGTAGACGGTTTGACGCACGTCGTCCTCGTTGATCGCTAGGAGGTCGAGGTCCAACTCCGCATCTTCATCATCGTCACTTGGTCGGTCCATCGAAAAGTCAAAAGTCGATTCGTCGAAGGTGATGTCACGACTGATCACCACTTGGCCCGCCTCAATGTCGTACACTCGATAAGCTTTTTGACGCTTCTTCGTAGCCCATGAACATCCCTTCACGAGCCTTCGGGTCCCACTTCAATCGCTTCTCCCTTGGGGTCAGGATAAACGCCCGACATCCAAACACGCGCATGTGCTTGACACTTGGTTTCGACTTGTACACGATCTCGAACGGAGTCTCGTGGTCGATCTTGGGTGAAGGCAGGCGGTTCTTGATGTAGATCGCCGTCATTGCCGCTTCAGCCCAGAAACGCTTCTCCAGCTTTGCATGATGCAACAAGCTCCGTCCGATCGTGAAGATGGTCCTTATCGCGCATTCTGCGGTGCCGTTGGTCTGGTGTGCATACGGCACCGTGACCTGTTGTTCGATACCATGATCTTCGTAGAAGGTCTTGATCGAGTTGGTCACAAACTCATGCGCTCCATCGTGCCGAACAAACTTGATCTTCGTGCCGAACTGATTCTGAATCTTGATAATGTGGTTCTTGATACAGACTTCACTCTCAGAATTGGACCACAGACAGAAGCCCTTCATGCAACCGCTGGCTTCGTCAACCACAAGCAGTAAGTATCTGCTGCCGCCGATCGAGACTTGTTCCATTGGCCCGCAGGTGTCAAAGTGCAGCAACTCGAACACACCATATTGGCGTTTGTCACGGTTGGTTGGGAATGGTTTTTGGACCATCTTTCCTTGCTGGCAACTGCGACACACACTTGGACCAGTCGAGTTGAGAGGTGCCTTGGCGTCCTTGATCATGCCGGTGACCACCATCTTGCGCAGAACTTCGAGGGGTGCATGACCCATGCGCGCATGCAAGTCGATAGTCCCATTGCGTGTTGCTGCATTCGCCGATCGTTGAGTAGTCCGCAGCCAGTAAAGTCCATCGACGAGATCCGCTGTTGCCACGACTTGTGTGGAATTCTTGCGCTTCACTTGCATCTTGGATCCATCGAACACGACTTGGAACCTGCCACCCTTGTTGATCTGTGGCACCGAAAGCAGATTCTTGCTCATACTTGGTACGAACAGTGCGTCCTTGATCTCGATGTCGCGTTCGTCACCATTGGGCAGAACCACCCGTTCCATGATGGTTCCCACACCCTTGATCGCAGCCTTGCTGCCATCAGCCACTGATAGTTCGCCTTCCTCTCGCTCATTCAGGCTTGCAAACTTGGCCTTGTCGTTGCAGATGTGATGCGTCGCACCGCTGTCGACTGCCCACATCCCTGGCATATTCTTGCTCGTCGAAAGTCCAGCCTCCAGCGAAACCGTGAACGCAACTCGATCGTAGTTGTCGTCGTAGTTGCTGTTGGTTCGCCACTGAACGTTGTTGGCTCCGCGTCTACGAGCATTGTTGCCGCCGCGTCGAGCTCCACCTTGATTTTCGTCCTTCTGCTTGGTCCAGCACCGCTCCGCCGTGTGCCCCAATTTTCCGCAGTATGTACACTGGCGAGGTTCACGCTCGGCACTGAACGCCTTCGCCGCGTCTTCAGTCTTCACCGATGTCGTCTTGTCACCTTGTCTCTTGATGTGCTCATTCGTGAGCACTCTCACGACGTCTAGCGATCGCAGTTCCGCGTTGCTCATCTCCAAGCTGAGAACGACGTTCTCGTAGCTCTTGGGGAGGCTGCGCAACAAGCAGATCGCCACGTCCTCGTCCTCCATCTTGGCGCCGATGCTGCTGAGATTCGCGCTGATGTTGAGGACTTCGTTGCAATGATGCATCACATTGCCGCCTTCCGCCATCTCCATGCTGAACAGCTGGCGCTTCAAGTAGATGCGTCCAGCCTTCTGCGACCCGCCGTACAGCGTCTTCAAACGCGCCCACGCGACCCACGCCTCTTCACAGTCATCGACGATGTGATGGTAGTCCGCGTCCATGTGCAGCAACATCAGTCCGAAAGCGATGTTGTTGGCCTTGACGTAGTCGTCCATGGCGCGATCGTCCGCGTAGGTCGGTGACGTCTCCCGGTTCACCACGTGCCACGTCGACTTGGTCAGGAACACGCCACGCATGTAGCGGCTCCATGTCGCGTAGTTGTCGCCGTCGAACTTGTCAATGGAGATCTTGGTGGTGGCATCATGAGCAGAGGACATCGTGCTTGGGCTCATAACCTGTTGAAAGGTGTGAAGCTTGACGACCGAAACTGGGAGGGATGCTGGGAGTCCACTCGGAAGACCGGAGAAGACACTTGGGGGGGTAGATGGAAGATTGTAAAGTGATTGATTTTCGGGGCTTACTACTTACTACATGATTTAAATGTGGTGCACATATAAATCATGTGAAGCATCTCTTCATCCTACGCGTCTAATCAACTATGGTAATTACCGTAAGAACTACGTCGTAAATACTAAGCTGAACAGGCGGTTCGGATTGGACCGGTCACGGTTACCAATACTGGTAGGAAACCGATGACCATCAACAAGAAGGGATCGGTGCCAATCCGTATGGGGAAGTTCATACCTACTTGTGACTTCCAAGAAAGGTGAAAATAGCAAAAACAAGTCGCAGTTATACTTTATGTTTACCGCCATCATAGCGATATAAATGATCGGCGATTGTCTGATACTGGATCGACCACGATTTTCCACATCGATAGATAAGTACAATATGCATCATCCTGATGATGATGAACATAATTCAGTAAAGGTACGGAATGATGCTATGTGATGAAGTTCGATTCAAACGATTTGGTAGACGCTGTCCAAGGCAACGTCACCAAGTGCATTTTCGACAAATGAATGCATTTCCGATAAGTTACAAAATTTCAAATATCTCGATACACAGATGCATTGCCTATGATAGAATATCCTTTTCGAGCCATTAAATACACCCTTTATACACTCAAAAGAAAAGAAAATTATTAAATTAGCCACACATTCGTTGTACAGTAAATCCATTACATTAGTGTATGCCACACCATATACCTTATTAAAATTAAACGTGACAGATGATATTTTATATGTATTGAACAAACCTTTGGACCGAAGGGGGCGTACAGCATCATTGTACAGCGAATTGTGCATTAGTCATGTTCAGCAACATCTTACAGCCTACATCGGGAGCGAGAGCTATGGTGCACCGTACAGCGAAAGTGGCTTCGCCACAAAAAAACTCAGCTTGAATTTATAATAATCCTACCAAGAACTAGAGTAAACAACCACTTTGTGAAGCAGAATTGTTCAAGAACAGTACTTTCTTTCTGCAATTTCAAAAACTGCAGCAACAGGTGACAACATGGCGTAGCGCCGAGACAATAGGCCGAATGCCAGATTACTCAATACGGGTAGCTTTTTCATGTGGGTGTCCGATATTAGAGGTCGCGCTCAAAGCTTGCTCCCTATTATACTCGTGAGGTTTGTCTGTTTATTTTCCGCATACTATGGTACTCATTTCGTTTTCAGTTTCTTTTTAATCTGAAAGTTACCATACAAGTTGTTGCTTGATCTAATTCGACACCATCAACATTAGATACTGTATGCTAGAAAGTTCTTTGTCGAATTTTATCATCGCTGTTCCTATTTTTAACTTCACGCCATAATTGCTATTGTTATCTGTGTTTCAGTTGCTACTATTCGGTTGCCAGTGTCGTTGTTACTGCTCCTTCCGTTGGTGTAGCCTTATTTTTGGTATAGTTGTAAATTTTATGTGTTGTTCCTGTTGCTTTTGATTGATCAATCATTTGATGTTTGTGTTGTTGCTGATGCTAATGCTGTTGTAATTTTATTACTGTTGCTTACTGTTACTGGTAATACCTTGTTGTTGTCGCAGCTGCTGTTGTTATTGTTTAAAAATTGGCGCACACGCTAATTCTTTACTTCTTTTGCTACTGCTATCACTTTTTTAAAAGTTTCTGCTATTATGTGGTGTCGTTGGTTCTACATTGTTACTAATATAGTAGTTTTAGTTGTAGGATAAGAATTTGCTTCCTGCTAATTAGATCTAGTTTTTTCGGCGTATAAAATCATATTAATAAAAGACCATAATTTTGTTCTAAATGGTTAATTTTTAAGTAAATTAAAGATCTTTGAGCCTTTCCCGACTGCAGGCATGTTGCAAGCAGGAAATTTGCGATGATTCTTCAAGCATAGTTTATAGACTTGTTTGTCATTTTATTGTACAAAAATTTTACTTATTTAAGGCTAGGGAAGTTATGAAATAGCATCGTAAATATAAGAGTTTGGCATTTCATTTACACTGGACTAGATACGATGTAACCGTTTTTTATTGCGCGTGTACAAATCTGCATCCAATACTAAGGTAATCTGCAAAGCAATATGAATCCAGAATTAATAATTTAGTAGACAGCCAAGTGCTATTGCAGGTTATGTTCGATTCTGTTAATGGCTATAAACTTAAAGAGGAGCACGATAGTTGTGGAGAGTTCAAGAGGTGACAAATTATACACAAGATATTGATTCGTTTGAAGTGTAAACCCAATCAAGCACATATGGTATCGTTCAAAAAATAAAATTTTATTTTGCATTAAACATACGTTACAAAATTGAACAAGATTATAAATTCCATCGGACTCATATCATTAAAACTTGGCATTTGGACCTCTTACATTCTTCATAAAGGGGTGACACAGCTGCATTGTAACGATGCGCAAAAATATTGCACCTACTCTTGCTAAGTAAATTGGTGGCAATCAAAGGTGCTTCTGATTGTTTAAGAACCACACACCCCTCAAATTCGACCCAAGTCATCTCCACATCAACTAGCTTGCATCATTTTTCCCTTTACATATCTGAATTGATGAAAGAAGTGTTGATACGCAAGCATAGCATATGCCTACTTTGTCACAGTTAATATTCGGGTGACCGTATTCAAGGGCTCATTTGTTTTTGTTGTTGTTGATGTATATCTTGGTACGTAGACCGACCAGCAACTTAAAAGAAAGGATACCCAGCTTTGGGATCCACTATCCGGCTTTATAAATCGACTCGACTCCCCACGCATACATGTCCATGCACCTGCCGGTCCCGATGCCAATCCTCTATCTTTCGGCCACCGGGTCAGTTTGGGCTCCAATGTTAAGCAAATCAACCATATCAGAACATTGCATGCAAATGATGATTGAATAAGGTCAGGTCCTTCATCGAAAAACAATGTCCGAGTATGTGTATCGCGTTGTCTTGAGTATACTTGGACGTGGGGCACCATTATTTTTGTGGGTATATGGACCAATTCATTTTTACTGTATTTCCGATATTGGTAGATTAGTAACAACATGGCAATAGAAGTATTTTTATAAGAGTGAGGACCACGGATTTTCAAAACGTGTTTCAGAAAGGCTTTCTTTGCAAAATCTGATGTATATTTGAAGAGTAAAAGCGCAGAGTTGAAAAGGTATATTTTTAGGTCGGAAACTAATCTGATGTTTAGTAGAGTTCTAGTTTTTCTTTCTTTCACAAGCGTTATGTGTTTCTCCCTTCCGATCTGGATACATTTCTCCTGCTTCTCCAAGGTAGCCCATAATACCCAAACATTAATCAAATATCTCGAATCGCTTGGCCAGGGTTGGAAAGACTCTTACTTCATACCAACTGCGATTGGGCGCAGTACACAGGGAAAAGGACTGGACGTCAAGATTGCGATACAATTCAAGATACGTAAGGATGTAGCAATGAGCATTAGGACCAGATTGAGCAGTACCGACAGTATGTGCACGACAGATCGTGAGATTTATTAAAAAGACCGCGATATTTTTTGGGATTGGCGATTTAAGGTGAATTGAAAGCGTCTAGCAAGATCAATTGATCCCAGAAAATTCCAAGCGACCACTGGCAAGATTGGCGCCATATCACCAGATCTCTGTTTAAAGATTTCTGCACTGAGCAAGATAGACATCTCTCAAGGAAGTAATAGATAGCTTAATACTGTCCAACCGACAGGTATACAAGATGACCCACAAGGCTATGCAACAAGGCACGTATCGGAATACCTCTCCGTAAGTCGGCAAGTCTGGTCAAGTGAGAGATCGTAACTGAAATCAACAATTTACGTGAGATCGAATAAATTACAAAAGTGATCAGTGCACGTTTGTGCTGTACATTAAATTATTGAAGATTTAGATGGTAGTCGTGTGACGATATGCTAGTAGTGTTGCATTGATAACAATCTAAAGCTATTCTGTTATCGGTGAGTGCAAAGTACGAATTGTCCAGTTGAATAGCTGTCGACTTGTACTAAGCAAGGAATCAACATAGGTCGATGCTTCATTTCAATAAGCTAAGGTTGCTCCAATGCAATAAATCTGACTCCATCCCGCTCATGCATTGCGTATGTTGTAGGTTATGCATCAAATTATACTGGACTGTGTTAAATTGAACCGTCCTCTACCTGCAAGAAACCAAGCTGCACAGATCTGCTTTAATACATGTTGACTAGATCAACACTTTAGAGGGTACTCGGACGCAGACTAGGCTGGAGACCTTCTAGGTCGCAATTCAACTTCGGGATACTTTTTCAGGTTAAGATGTGCGCCTGGTATCTGTTATCTGGGTAAGCAAAAAGCAGTTAAATTTGTCGCTGTCCATGAGCGAAGCAGAGTACATGACGCTAGGTATAGTAATAAAGGAAAGCGAGTGGGTGCATTGTCTGTTTTGTGAGATCCTGACCAAGACAACGAGCATATACTGGAATATTTTATTGCCGAAGACAAGTAATAGCGCATTAAGGCAATAAAATTTAATCAACCGTGAATAAGCCAAGCACATCGAAACCATGTTACATCGTATCCGTGATGAGATTAGCGCAGTATAGTACAGTTTGATTACTGCAAGACTTTAACATGCTTAGTAGATAGTGCGACCAAGGCGCTGACAGGAAAAGCCACAAGAACGTAAAGGCGGGTCTCGACGCTCACTCGTGCTTTAATTGAGGGGGGAATTGATGAATGCTTGTTCAACAATAAAAACTTACGCGCAGTTTATACAAGATAGCTTTTACAACGGCATCACCTTAATGTTAGTTAGACATGTAGATCGATTTGTAAGACCAACGTGAATTATAAGAGGTACAGGTTAATTAGTATAAAATCATGAGAATACCGATGAATTGATCACTTCCTGCTACATCTCTCCACCATTAG